CCTAGAGTCCAGTATCTCAGTGCAAATGCTCTGGTTTCACAAGCACAGTTTGGAAGGTTCCTTTACAGCCCGACTTTCTGCTCCAGATTGGTTAGATAGCTTCCTTACTGTTTGGCTGTCTGAGTTTAGCAAGTGGAAGCATGTAAGCTGTATCCAAGACTAAATCAGGGGAAATCAAATTCTGTGACAACCCTTTTCCCCTCACCCTCCTCCCTTCACCCTATAATCTTACAGAGAATATTACTGTTGCGTAGAAGAAACAAGTTAACTGCAATTCTGGCATAGAAAGATATTTTAAGATATTTTTTTTCTAGCACTCACCTGATTCTGCAAATGTGATGATTTCTGAAGTTTGCTCTACAAGTTCATTCATTTCTGCTCTTCTTCCAATGTCATCCTCTATTTCCACATAGCCGTCCTCTCCCACCTTTCCTACATGGAGTTTTTTTATGGCATTTAAAAGTGCTGCCTTGGGCACCGGCTGGGTGATGTTAGGTCTGTCCCTCAAGTGCAACATGTTCAGGATGTGCTTCTTTACTGCTTCCACCATCTCAGGCTGTGAGCTTGGCACATCCTTTGAGAGTGTGGCAAGGGCACATGATGGGCAGTCGGTGACTGAACTGTGCCCCTCAGATCCTGGGGTTGGAGAACTCTTCACTATAATCCAGCAAAGCGCCAACAAAAATTCTCTCTTCAAAAGCAAAGGCATCCTGGCAGCAAAAGTTGTTGTGATTCCCTTTTAAAAAGGCCCTGCTTTTCCTTTCTCTTCACACACAGGTTTTTTGTTGTTTGTTTGTTTGTATGGTTTCTTTTTTTCCTCTCTCCTCTTCAGCAAATTCTCTGGAACAAGAATAGAAAGTTTTCTGTGAAGTTTTGTTTGCAGGTTCCCTCTCTGAATGCAGTAAGTGCTGTAGATGTTTGTGGCTGTCAGGGAGAAGAGTTCTGACTCTGTCTCAGAGTAGGAGAGAGACACACAGAGAGAAAGAGGACGGATTGGCCTAAAGTGAGTGAGTGAATGAGAGAGGGAGGGAGTTTTGTCTGTGAGTAAGGGCTATGATTAGGAAAGGGGGAGGAACAGCCAGGCTGCCTTCCTTATGCTCATTGCTCCCTAACCCACACCTCTCTTCAAATATCACCAGTCATATTTTCTGCCCTCCCTCACCCCCCCTTTTTTAAAAAAAATCTCTTTCACTTCTTTTCACTTTACTCTTTCTCTCTCTTAATATTTGTTTGAATTTCCTTTATGTACCCCATCTTTTTTTTTTTTTCAAAATAATCACAAATGGAACAGGAGAAGAGTGAATGAAAGAAAAGAGTTAACCCTTTTTGATAAGCACCTTGTTGTGCTCCTGTCCAATATTAAAAGGATAGGACCACATGTTAAATAGTGTGTGAGGGAGGGAATGAAGACAGGGAATATTGGAGGTTTAACATTGTCCTGCCCTGAATGAAAAATAGAAAAGATGCTACTTTTCCATTTTAATGCTTAAAGTTATCAACACTAGCAAGAGATCTGAAGAGAGCAAAACGCAACATGTTTTGCTTGCTTTTGGGAAGGGAAGGGAGCTGTATAGTACTTTACACTTTTTCTAGCTGCACATTGCAGCAAAACATAGAAACATACAAACAGGCGACAGACAGAACACCACATATGTGTGTCATATTAAGGTACTGCCTTCCCATCCGAATATATCCCTAATTCTACCCCAGTGTTCAACCAGAACTTCTCAAACAGATATATTTAGGTTTGGAGTTTAATAAAGTAATGATTGAAAAGTTCTTGAAGGTGAAATCCTGGCCAAATCCTAAAGCCCTGATTCAGTTTTTACTCAGTCCTTAAGTAGGCAAAACCCTTCACTGATACCAATACAAATTTTGTCTGAGTAAAGTCTTCTAGATTTGGCCCATTGTTTTTAGAAAGAAGTTTTCTTTTATTTCCCTCACTTAAACCACATAGTACAATCATGACATCAGAAGAAGTGATTACATAGGAAGAGTAAATCTAAAATACTATTAAAAGCCAGACAGATCTTCTGCTAGTAACCATATGCCAATTAATACCAGCTGTAGATCTGGCCCCATATTAAAAAATCATTATCTTTGTCAGTTACAGCACCTCATGTTGCCCTGACGTGTTTTATAATCTTCCATTCTACTCACCTTGGCAAGCTAAGAAACACTTAAGTGAGTAAATTTCCTTATGTTTTGATGTTATAATGAAAAATTAGAAAACTGGATTTATCACCCCAAACTTTCAAGATTCTTTCTAACTGCCGTTTAGAGGTATCTTTAAGTTCACTTTTGGTTTTTTTCAATGTGCATTCTTTTTTTTAATCACACACACAAAATGTGTTTCTTATATCTTACAACTAAAAGAGTTCCATACATTATCATAAAATACATTTTAATGGGAAAAAGTAAGTGACAAATATAAGCATTGTGAGATCTGTAATTCCTGTAAAATAACTACATACGCAAGATCTGAGAGGAAGGGCAGGAAATAATGAAGTGAAAATAACTTAAATATACAGAAGTATTTGAACAATCAACAAGACTTTTTGCAAATGTTACATAGTGCAATTGTTTTTTTTCAATGGGGCTCTTTTATAAGAGTATTTCTCTGTTAAAAAGCATCTACAGTACAACCTAATCTACCCACCTCAGTTGCTATACTGTTATACTAAGGGCCTGTCAGCTTTCTTTTCTAAACCCTGCAGCCATTCTTATAAACACATCTTTGTAACAAAACCCCTGCTATATATAAATATCTTGGGTCTCATGAACAGCCCAAAATCTGTTGTAATTACAGTAAGTTGGAAAGTGAGTCTGAAAAAGGATGAAAAGTTTAATTGACTGAAAATATAATTTGAGATGACAATATACATTTAGAGTTACAGGTACTGACAGGTAAAGTAGCGAGGTATGTATATACATAAGAGGTATTAATATATCCATATACATTCTTATGTGGCATCCATCACAATAATCTCTGACATAGAATTTATAATAAAGGTGTATATCGCTATAGAGGTATAGGTCTATGTAATTAGTTTCCCATCCAGTATGTTGTATAGGGTTGTTTAACTACATATATTATATATATGTACTATATATACATTATATAGTACTAACATACCTTGGTGTTTATTGATTTAAAATTTAAACAGCACTCTATATTAACAAACTTTTGAATCCAATATGTACATTTATGCATATATCCTGAACTGTGCACTCTTAAATATATTTGTTTTAAAATCCATATTAATCTGATATCTAGAGATAATATAATTCATATTAATATTCAAAATTAAATAAACTGCATTAAATGTATTCATGATAACATGCAGATAAAATGTCTTAATTTACGAAAGAATAGAAAAAAGCATAGATTTTAAAGTTTTTACCTCTCTGTCCTCTCTCTTTCTAGCAGACTATGCATTAAGAACGGCTCAAATTCCTCTTTGTGGAATAATGTGAAGCTGTATACTGTAGTTCTTGTGTGCATACTCACACATATTTAAAGGAGCTGGAATATTGTGGAATATTAGATCAAAATTAGGTGGGCTGAAATACTGTGTTGGATTGGTTTATCCAAATGACCTCATCAATTGACTGTTTTCCTGTGTGAGACATGCTTGTGGTAATTAGCTGATGGGAACTCCTGTTTGTCTAGTATGACACAAAGTGTCATGGATTCAAATATCAGTTTTAAACCTGTATCTTTCCATTTAAAGTGTACAACTTGAAAAAAATCAGACTTAAAGTAAACATGCTGAGTCAGAGGCAAATTTCAACTTTTTATTACATAAATATACACAGCTAAGCTTTTGTCAGTTCAACCACAAGATTTGTCAGCCATTTAATTACTAAAAAGAGAATTGTCCTATCCTGCTTTGATAGTGAGAAAACATTGAGATACTACTTGCAAGTTTTAAAAAAAGTCAGGAAAATTAATAATTGTTGTGGTATAATTCTTTACTAGCAAAATTTTGCTTCTTTATTAACTTAGGGATGCTTTTAAAGCTGTGTATAATTCTATTTGTTTTAAACATGTTTCTCATATCCAGTTCTTGTTATTTCTTGCATATTGATATCACATCACATACTTTTAAAATAACACATCTAATTTTTTTATAGTTAACAACACATAGTTGTCTGTCTTCTAAGTAATGTTTGACTTGGCGCACACAGAAAAATTGGCCAGAATTTGATCTCACTTACACTAGTGAAAATCAAGAGTAATTGTATTGAGATTTGCTCTCACTTACACTAGTGAAAATCAAGAGTAACTGTATTGAGGTCTATTGAGTAATACAAAAGTAAAAAATGTATAAGGGTCTTTCTTTCTTTCTTTCTTTCTTTCTTTCTTTCTTTCTTTCTTTCTTTCTTTCTTTCTTTCTTTCTTTCTTTCTTTCTTTCTTTCTTTCTTTCTTTCTTTCTTTCTTTCTTTCTTTCTTTCTTTCTTTCTTTCTTTCTTTCTTTCTTTCTTTCTTTCTTTCTTTCTTTCTTACAGACATTGTTGCTAGTTATTTTGTGATGTAGATCATGATAATCGGGCCTGATTCTGCAGTTCTTTCTCATCAAAACACCCATTGAGTTCAAGAAAATAATCTCCATTATTCAGGATATTTCTTCTAATTGTATTTATATGCTTTCATTTGTACCATTGGTATAAGCAAATTTTTTTGGGGCGGGGGGCGGGGAATACGACTAAGTTGATTAGGAAAACGAGTAGAAATATTAAACTCATATTTGTATAAGGGAGTACTCATGCAGAATAGATTCCAGTCTGAATGGAGAATGGTTGAAGAATGAGACATGTTCACATGATAAGTTTAGTAAAATGAGCAAAATTAGGACTTAATGGGAACCATATGACCAGATAGATTGGTTTGTTTGCAGGAATATGTTTAAAATAAGATTTTCAGACTGCCACAAGTTTCTGATTATAGGTTCCCGTCTCTTGAAACAGGTTTCAGAAGGTTCTTTGCATTTTGAAGCATTCAGAATCATAGCACTTTCCACTTTACAGATAGTGAGAGAGATACTTGAAGGACCACATAATTTCATTACAAGACTGGTATCAGTAGTGCAGTGACTGTAAATTTGGCAGCACACATGCTCTCAGCAAGACCTCACACAGCATTGACTTTATGGATAGAGGAAAAGCTAGCCAGGAGTGTAATAGGTTTATCTTCTCAAGATCAACATGATGACATTTTTAACGTTCACCTCCTTATAAATTTCTGATCCAAGTACAATACAGCAGACACCCCCCTGCCCTCTGCCCACCAAGCTCCTGCCCTATAGTGAACAGCAGCACAAGGTATGACACTATGTTCCAGTGAGGTATACAATGAGCAAGACTGATACCAAGTAAATCACACTAACATACATATGACATATGACAATGATTTCTCGCAGCAGACTGAAGACAGCATATTTCATTTCAGGGCCTGTTCATAGTTTCCTTTGAGAACTGGTGTACAGCTTTACCAAAAGACTTATGAATGCTCCATTTGATGACCATTTTTTTATGTTCCTTCCTTTCTGTTTTTCTCTCCACCCCCTCCAACTCAGTTCATTTCATTGTTGTCTTTTACTGTACCTACAGCAACACCTGCTGGCAGTGTTCCGAGAGCAGTTCCAGAAAGACCCACTGATCTGACCCTTCAAGCTGGCTGCCATTAAGCACTGCCAAGTCATATTCATGAGCTGCCTCTATTTTTACCTCTTCCCACTAGAAAGGACAACTGCTTCTCAGAGCAGTTCTTGATTTTTTTTCTTTTCCTTTTAGTTTGGCAGCTCAAGAATCCAAAAAAGGATTGTTCATTTAGTGCCATTGGGATTTCTGACTCAAGCTCTGGTGCCGGTGATTGAAACCACATAAAAAGCAGAATGAGGCTGGACCTACACGTTGGCTTGCAGGCATGTTCCATTTCCCTAGTGAATCAAAACAGAGAGAAAGAGAATGAGAGAGAGAAATGTTAATATACCAATAACCCACCTCCTTTTT